ATGGCAGAAGCCAGTATCTCATGGGCTGAGGATCAGTTCAGCTGTTCAGTGTGTCTGGATCTGCTGAAGGATCCAGTGACAATTCCCTGTGGACATACTTACTGTAAGAGTTGCATCTCAGAGTGCTGGGATCAGGAGGATTGGAAGAGAATCTACAGCTGTCCTCAGTGCAGACAGATCTTCAGTCCAAGACCAGTTTTAAGTAAAAATGTGATGTTTGCGGAAATGGTGGAGAAACTCAAGAAAACGAGATGCCAAGCTGCTCCTGCAGTTCTTCACGCTGGATCTGGAGATGTTCAGTGCGACTCCTGCACTGGATTTAAACAGAAAGCAGTGAAGACCTGTAGGGAGTGTCAAAGCTCTTATTGTCAAAATCATCTTGAACAGCATGAGAATCTCTTCAGAAGTAAAGGACACAATCTGATGACTGCCACTGGACGACTGCAGGAGATGATCTGCCCTCAACATGATAAAATGCTAGAAATTTACTGCCGTACTGATCAGCGGTGTATCTGCATGCTGTGTTTGGTGGATGAACACAAAAATCACGACACTGTATCAACTGCAGCGGCAAGATCAGAGAAACAGGTACTGCTCTCTTCTGTATCTCATAAGCAGCAATCTCTCCTCGTTTGTCATTTGATTTTTCCCTCAATCAGGGAAACTGATGTTATTGATTTATAATTGATGGGAATAAATACAATTTTTACAATACATTCAGATAGAAAACAGTTATTTTAAATTTCACAATATTAATGTTTTACTGTATTCTTTGATCAAATAAATGTAGCCTTAAATAAGGTACTTCTTTACAAAAACATGTATTTTGTAACACGTCTGTTTTCTGCAGAGACATTTTGAGGAAATGCAGAGAAAAATCCAGGAAACAATCCAGCAAAAAAAGAAAGGCCTGAAGCAAATGAGAGAAGCTGTGGAGTCGCATAAAGTGAGTTCAGAGAAGAGACGTTTGAGAAGTCTCAGTTTGGACTCTTCTTCACATTCTTACAAAAGAAATAATAAGGAATTAATTCACATTTACCGTATACTTGTAGCTACGTCTGATATTAATCTCTCAGAAAATACTGGACCCTGTCAGCCTGCGAAAGAATGTCTCAGGTTATGCATGCATATAGGCCCACTCTGCCACGCTAAGGGGAATGTGCGCCATATTTTCGGAAGGTGAGCACTTAAGCACCAACTCCACAGTGTAACCAACAGAGTTGCCCCTCAGACGCATCAGCAGCTGTCAGTGACATTATACCCTTCAGCCAAAAGCCTGAGCTACATAGCCAGATCTTATCTATTAGTGACTGAGCAGATCCCCAGGCCAGAGCTCGTGACTGAGCAGATCCCCAGGCCAGAGCTCAAATGCTTAGAATAATACATAAAATTATTCCTTCAAGGAGATTAGACCAGACATCTGAGTCTTACCATTTCTACCAGATCCCAGCCGGTCACCTAGGTGGACTTACTGCGTTTACCCCTAACTCCCAGGGAGACTACAGAATAGCCAACAATCTCTCTGCCTGGGGCAGAGTCTCTGACTTGACACTTCCCACTGGTCACAGAGAGGAAGTATGCAAACCAAGGTGCTTCACAGAGAATCCTTCAACTTGATAGCATGGAGCTCTCAAAGAGGCTCATAGAGCCTTCATTTGACCAAAACCAAAGCTCATGTAAGGCAGCTTAAAGGGAGGCAAGAGAGCCTGACCGCAGGACAGAGCTTGATGGAGTGTAATACCCAGCATAATGACTCTCTAAATTGAGATGAGTACTGAATCTAAATCGAGATGCGTACTGAACCCTGTGCACATGGTAGAGCTCTTGAGAGCTCTAAACAACCCTTTAAAGAGAGGGGAATACTATTATGCTCACCAACTTAGGAAGCGGTGTACTCAATACGACAACCATCTGAAGCGAGGGGAGTACTGCCAAGCTCAGTCCTAAGGGCGGCTCATCAGGGAGGTCCACAGAGAGCCTAACAGCCTGACTTACCTGCATCACAGAGCTCTAGGGAGTGGAGTACTTTGCATAACAACTCTCTGAAGTGAAAGGAATACTAAGTACACTCTAGGGAGCGGGGTGTTCTCTAAGCAAGAGGAGCAAAATCCATGCTCAACCTATGGTGAAATTAGAGCTCTCAGAAGTAAGCACTCAGTGCCACAATCCTTATAAACAAGGGAGTGTGATCAGTTCACCTAAAGGATGGCTTATGAGGGAGGCTTAAGGAAAGCCTAACAACCTAAAAAAGCCACAGAATGGAGCTGTAGAAAAAGGGCTCTAGGGAGTGGTTTACTCATAAAAGAACCTTGTACAGTGAGGGGAGTACTGCCAAGTTCGACCTCCCGAGCACTCTGTCCAGGAAGGCTCACATAGAGCCCGGCACCCTCACACAACTGCAGAAAATAGCTCTAGGCCACCTAGAGGACGACCTTAAAGACAGTATATTAAAGAGGCTCAAGAGAACCTAGCAACCTGACACTACTGTCTAATAAAGCTCAAAGGAGCGAGTACTCAATGTAACGACCCTCTAAAGCAAGGGGAGTACTATGATACTCACTGTCTTAGGGAGTGGAATACAAACCAACACTCCTGGAGTGAAGGGAGTATGGTCAGACCTGACCTTGAGGGCAGTTTATCAAGGAGGCCCAAGGGCCTAACAACTTGACATCACTGTATCGCAGAGCTCAAAGGTCTTGACAATCATGGGAGGCATCCTTCTTTTTAGGGAAGCCTGATGTTCAAGACTTCCTGAAAGCAGTCTATCAGGGAGTTTTACGGAAGCCTAGCAACGTGATACTGCAGTATGAGAACTTTAGCTGAGAGCAGTTTGAAAAGAAAGATTAGAAAGAGCCTAAGAACTCA